CAGGGATGACTGCGGAGCTAATTCTCGAACACAAGCATCATTTCTGACTGTGGTCTGAGTGCTGGCTGCCCCCCAGCCTGCTCCACGGGTGCGGTGTCCCCGGAGCACGGGCACTGTCCTCGTCACTGCTGTCGCGCAGCGTCTCGGGGTTGAGTACCAGAGACCGTACGGCCCACAGAGTATGAAAGGCTTATTCTCCGGCTTTCTACAAAAGGGATTTTCTTGCTCTAGAAGACTTCCCAGAAAGGGCTGACGGGTCCTGATTTCTTGTTTTCATATATTGAAAATTATTTTTCTAGAGTCCTGATACTTTAAAGATAGCTTGACTGGGTTTACATATGAGGTTTATATCTTCTTTTACTTTTTTTATTTTTAAGAAAATATTCCATTCTTGTTTTTTGTTTGTTTGTTTGTTTTCATTTTCATTTTATTTTTTTAAGAGAGATTTTTGCTTTAGGGTATGTGCACTCACTGGAGAGAGGGAGGGAGGGGGGGAGGAGGGAGAGAGAAATAGAAAGCAAGAAATTACTTCCCGGGGGGATGGCCATGCCGCATTCCCTCCTCCATTCTCCTCTCAGGATCTTGGGCACGCACGCACACGCGCCCAGGGTGAGTTTAAGCCACCGGGTCCGGGACGCGAACCGCAGTCAACTCTGTGGGAGTCCAGCGACATAGCCATTTTGTCATCTGCTGGTCCCAATCTTGTTTTACTTTCATGTGCTTTTGAAAGATCGGTCGGTCTGTTTTTTTAATTGCCAGAGAGCAGGTGTGTCTGGAGGAGTGGGAGAGGGCGTGAGAGCGTGAGCCCTGGCAGGGCGTGGTCACGCTGGGACGTTCCGATTCTCCTCCCCCCAGGACTTGCGCACGCCTGTATGCGCCCGGTGCGTTTCTCAAGCGGCCAGGGCTGGGATTCTGACCGGCGGCCGTGCCGGGTCTCGGTGCTCGACCTGTGCACTGGGCGGCCCACCTCCGCTCCTGCCAGTGCGTCTGGGCTTATCCTCTTCCTCGGAATCCAATGTCCTCGTAGAACCTCGACCTGTGCACTGGGCGGCCCACCTCCGCTCCTGCCAGTGCGCCTGGGCTTATCCTCTTCCTCGGGTCGCTGCCCCACTGCCTCTGTGGGAGTCCAGCGCCAACCCTGTTTGCGGGTCACCAACCCTGTTTGCTGGCTGCTCGTTGGTTCCTGCCCTCCCGTAGTTCCGACTCGGCCCGGGCAGGAGACAGCATGTGTCTGTCGTCCCCGCGGAGAGGTGCCTGTGGGCGTCGGCCCTCGTCCTGAGAGGACCGAGCAGCTGCCCCTCGGGGTCAGGCCGCCTTCAGCTCTCCCCGATGGCCCGTCTGTTTTCTGTCCCCATGTCCACTTGAGGGCGTTTGCTGGCTCGAGCGCGTTTGTAGTTGATGTCGCCAGTGGGCTGGCGGGTTCCTCCTGTCCGGTGGAGCTTAGAGGGGCATTTCCCTGGGGGATGCGCGACACCACGCCCGCTCCTCTGCGCTGGCTTTTCTCCGACCCCTGAGCCCATCTGTCCTGCCTTTGGCACAGGAGCCCGTGAGGCGGCGCCCTCTTCTGTCCGCCGAGCGCAGTGCGTTTGGCTTCGGATTTGCAGAGCCCAGTTTATGGCTTTTCGCCCCCCCAAAAAGAATTTCCCTCCCCCTGTTTGCTCTTTTCTCCCCAAGAGCTGCACGCTCCCAGACGGACCCTTCCGAGGCCTCGGCCCCGTTCCACCCCCTCACCCAGAGCTATCCCCAGGTACTCTGCCATCCTTCCTGTCACCCCAGTCCCATCTTGCCTGGGCGTGGAAGCCTTTGCTGGTTGTCCCTGTTCTTGGTTCATGCTGCAGTGTCCCCAGGCATGGGGACAGAGCTGGGAACCCACATCTGCTGAGCGTCCTTGGTAGCAGGCGTTGTGCAGAGGGCTGGCGGGGGCCCCTGGCTCTGCCTGCTGTGGTTCAAAGCCCCGCATCCCACTCATGTGTTGAAATTTGGTCAGCCATTATAACGGGGTTAGGAGGGTGAAAACTTAATCCAACTGTGTGGTCGAAAGGTGGGGTCTTTGGGATGCAGGTCATTAGGGTGGGCCTCCCTCACTTGGTCCTGGTGAGGGAGGTCCTGTGTCCCTGTGTCCCAGGGAAGAGGGACACAGACGGACACAGAGCTCTGCTCCCCCTGCCCCGTGATTGCTGCCTGGGGGCTCCAGAACCCCCAGATGTGCCTGGGCCACGGCCTCCCATCCACAAGCTGAGTAACCCCTGTGTTTTCAGATCACCCAGCTTGGTGATTTACAGACAGATGTCCAGAGTCTGCCCGGGCAGGGTGGAGCCCCACCTGCAGCTCTGGGAGCTGAGGTCTGCACCTGCCATCCTGGTCCCCCCATTGCCACCTCCACAGCAGGGTTCTCTGAGACGGGCCTGTGTCCAGGGCAGACTGCATCATCCCATTCTTCCATCTTTCAGAACGCGCCTGCAGCATCCGGCCTGGTACGGCACGCTGAGCTTTCACGGCTGGCGTAGGGGCAGCCCCTCTCGTCTCTGCTCGGGCTCCCAGCTACGAGCTGCCCTCGCCTTCCCGCTGGGTCCTCTGGAGGTCGGCAGCTGCTGGCAGCAGGGGCTCTGCCTCTGCCTCGCCCTTAGTCTGCAGCCCTGGCCCTGCAGGGTCGGCCTCAGGATTGGCCGGGTGGATTCGGAAGGAGTGGACGCAGGATTCCACGCAGCGCCTGTGGGCCAGGGTTGCTGGGTGTGGCGGGGGGAGGGGGCCATGCTCCTCCATGCCTCCACAGCGATCCGTAGTCGAGTCACTGAGCTGCGGGGACCCCACTGCAGCTCGTAAGGGGAGGGTTCAAAGGCTACAGGACGCGCCGTGATGGTGACCGTCCTCTGCCGAGCAGCCAGCGCACCGCATCTGCTCCTCATGTAGCCACTCGTGTGAGGTCGAGCCGATGTCCTGCACATGGAAGACTTTCTATGCTGCGTGTTAGTCTAGTGAGGAAAAGGGAGGTGGGTTATGAGAACTGCTGCGTGAGAATTCATTTAAAACCCTCCTTGACACATCCTTATGTGTGAGACATGCTTCGCACCCATTAAAAATTAACTCCTGATCAGGGCGATCCGAGGGCAGGTGGCTTTCTGCAGTGGCGACGGCAGGCCCGCGGCTTCCACAGCTGCAGCCCTCCCTCAGGCCCCGAGGTCGCCGTCCGTCCAGCCTCGGCCACCGAGGAGGCCCCTGGAGGGGTGGGGGTGGTGCAACCAGCTCTTGGGGGACACCCTGGTTCTTGGGTTCTCTTCTGGTAACAGAAGGTGCCTCCGAGCGAGCAGGCAGGGTTGGGAAGGAGCTGAACCGTGGTTTCCATCTCTGGGTAGGCACCGTCTGGCAGCTCTTGACAAGCAGGAGGGGAGCTGTCGGGACCTGGCGGGGGAGTCCGAGAGTGCAAGCCCTCGCTGGAGGGGCTATGGGCAGTTAGTGGTGCCAGGAAGGGAAGGGCCTGAGCTCGGGGAGCCAGTACAGGGAGGGCTCGAGGCCACAGGGGCTCTGGTGCACACGATCACAGCTGCACACTTCTCTGTGAGAAATGGGTGTCAGGAGGTGTGTGCGGCCTGCTTTGTGGGGTGACAGTGGGTACTTGAGCCCAGCCCTGCATCAGCATTCTGCTCACAGCAGCGGGGAGGAGGAGGTGTGGGGTGCTGGGACCCGCCACGGGGACTCTCAGGGCACTGACTGGCCTTCCATGGTCCCACAGCTGGGGGTACTCCTCTGTGCTCCCGAAGGGGCCTGAGGTCCCGGGGGACAGTGCCAGCCCTTCAGACCCCACGAACAAACAGGAGCCCAGGCCAGGGGTGTCCGTGTGCTCTGGTGCCAGGGCCAGCCCCGGACTGGCTCTCAGCTCCCGGGAAGAGGCAGGCCCCGCCTGGGAGTCACTTGGGGTACAGTCTCCACCCAGTTCCCCGGTGATGCCCTCCGCACCTGCTGTGGCCCCAGAGAGATGGCAGGGATCCCCTCCTTCCCTTTGGCTGCTGTTGGTGGTCGTCCCCCACTCCAAGGCCCTCCTGGGCCACCTGTGCTGGCCGAGTGCATCCAGGGCACAGGACCCCGCGGTGGGTCAGGGTGGACAGGACCCCAGGGTGGGTCAGGGTGGACAGGACCCTGGGGCGGGTCAGGGGGGACAGGACCCCGGGGCGGGGCAGGGGGGACAGGACCCCGGGGCGGGTCAGGGTGGATACGGCCATGCTCCGGGCAGAGTCCCGGGCTGTGCTGGTGGCAGCAGTGGAGGGAGGGCCCCGTAAGGGCTCGTGGGTGGCCATGCTCCACTCCCACTGCCCGTAGGAAGGGGCAAGCCGCGAGGAAGGTCTAGAGAGGAAAGTGATGGAGGACATGTGGTAACTCTATTTTTTTTTAAAGAATTATTTATTTAACTTTATTCGTTCCTTAATTTGATGAGAGAGAGAGAGAGGGAGAGAGTAAGCAAGTCACCAGGTCCAGGACTCAAACCTCAGTCAGCCATGCGGGAGCCTAGTGCCTTCTCCACCACGCCACCTGTCGGCCCCATACACTCCTGAGCAGCAGCAATGTCTCAGGGGACGAGGGGCTGCACTGTGGAGCAGACTCCGCAGGTTACAGTGGACGAGGCTCCTGGGAAGCCCGGGGCGGAGCTGACGCCGGTGCAACTGCTCGGGCTCGGGGGAGCCCTCAGGACGGGGCCCTTTCGTCCTCCCTCCTGTCACCTGGGCTCAGCTGGGTTCTTGGGTGGGCTCCTCCCAAGATGGTGTGAGACCCCGCCCCAGCCTGGGCTCTGCCAGCTGGCCTCCACCCCCAGGGCCTGAGCTCCGGGTGTGGGGAGGAGGGTGGTCTGGATCACTCCCCACCATGGTGGGAGGACTGGTCCTGGGGGCACAGCTCCCGGCTTCGGATGGACGTGCGAGTGCGTGTGTGTGCATGTCACTCGCCGTGGGGAAAGCACCATACCTAGAAAGCTCTGCCTTGCCGTGCCGCAGTCCTCCCGCCTCAGCCTCCTGCCTGGACCACCCAGGGGCGTGCCACCAGGCCTGGCTCCCTTTAGACAGCCTTGCTCTGCTGCCTGAGCTGGCCACAAACCCACGCTCCTCCGGCCTCAGCTTCCCGAGTCGCTAGGTCACAGGTGCGCCACAACGCCTGACGGTTAGGGCGTGCCGGAGCAGAGCCGAGGCCTCCCGTGTGTCCCCGCAGTGGGGCCCAGTGTCTCGGCAGCTGGGCCTCCTTCCCCGGTGCCTGCCAGCTCCACCGCGCTGCCCCGTGGCAGCCTTCCTCAGGGCACTGGCCGACTCTGGGCGGATGCACTGCCCAGGTTACCCTCTCACCAACTCAAGGTTCCCCGCTACCATGGCCCTCCACGCCGGCTGCGAGAGTCAGCTTATCCGAGGAAAGCGGAACCGGGGTCCGAGTTTACTTTAGTGCAAAACGTTTTTGAAACTGATGCAGTTTCTTCATGGCATGCATTTTCTGCGAGCTCGTTGAAGAGCCCACACACTGTGTGCATGAGAAGGGACCCCGCAGGGAGCCACACACTGTGCATGAGAAGGGACCCCGCAGGGTGTGCATGAGAGGGGCCCCCGCAGGGAGCCACACACTGTATGCATGAGAAGGGACCCCGCAGGGAGCCACACACTGTGTGCATGAGAAGGAATCCCGCAGGGAGCCACACACTGTGTGCATGAGAAGGGACCCCGCAGGGAGCCACACACTGTGTGCATGAGTGACCCCGCAGGGAGCCACACACTGTGTACATGAGAAGGGACCCCGCAGGGAGCGACAGTGACCATCAGGGGAGATTCCTGGCCATGCGCCCAGGGAACTGGATGAGCACGGATTTACGGTCGGCCCAACGATGTCTTCTGCTCACGGGCCCTCCCCCTCCTTTTAAATGAACAGAAACAACCAAGATCTAGATTTCTTTAAAAATTCAGCAATTTCTACTTCGATTTGGGAAAAAGAAAAGCACTGAAAACTAAATGTAAGTAGTCCGTGTACAAGTTCCCTTTGAGCGTAAAGTCCCAAGCCTGATAATTTGCTGACTCAGTCAAGTCACCGCCACGTTTTAAGGTTCCCGAAGTCATGAGATCAGCTGAGCGTCATACAAAGAAGTCACTCCCTGTGTTTTAGTTTTCCTCAGAAGTCCTCCTGTGTCAAAAAATAGGGAAGATGTTCTCTTCCGAGACTCGGAAGTTCACTGGTGCTGCGTGCCTGGGAGCCACCCGTGGGGATCGTCGCGTTCCGGTGCAGGCGTGCAGCAGGCCCACGCCTGGCCTCGGGGTCACGGAGTTCTGTCGGAGGACATTAGAGCTGATGTAGCCAAGTCCTGTCGTCTTATGACTGAAACGCAGAGGTCAGACAGGTTGCTGCCCCTGCCCCCGCGGTCTGACGGCCCTGGCGCCCTGGCTCACCAGGGAACTGAGAGCCCCACAGCCCCACACGGGTGCTGCCCTGACGCCCCAGTGGGTTAGACCGTGTGTCCTGCACCCCTCAAGGTAGGGCGTGACCGTTAAAAGGGACCGGCCCCACTTGTAGCTCCTTAAACTTTAAACTTAATTTACTTCCTTCATGAGTGATGGTGAGACAGGAAAGGACAACGCCCTCCTCAGGGTCTCCCGCTGCCACCGGCTGCCCTTGGTCTCA